TCGTAACAAACCACAGAGAGTTAAAAAAATATAGCTAAACATAAAAAAGATGCTTTAGTTTTTAAAATAGACTTTTCTAATTAAATAAAACAAAGGGGGAGGGAGGGGGTGGCGGGAATTTGCACCTGCTTGCTAACATCGTCTCAAATTGCCCTCGATTTGCTCGAAGTGTGATTGGCTAGATCCGGCACCCAGAAAGAGAGAGTGGATAATATTTCAAATGAAAACACGCCACAAGAGTCTTTGGGAGTTATTCGAAACATAATTGGTCGTCAAGTAACGTCGGTATTACAACAAAAACATTTTTTGGAAAGTGGGGCTAAAAGCACTTTGGTACGTCTCATTCTTTCCCTTCTAATTCATCCTAAACAAAAAACATTGAAAGTTTACTTACAATGCTAGTATATAATGATATTTCTAGTAAAGGAAAAAAATAAAGCTCAGTTAAAGTTTCACAATATAACTATAATCCTTATTATTATAGCCAAACTAAAGTAAATAGAGACATAATAGTTATAAATTTAAATAGTGATCATAAATATTCTATTAATGAAATAGAATTTCTCCTAAATTCGGCAAAATGTTGGTTAAATTCAAAAAAAATTCATTGACCTCAATATCACCAAATATCCTATAGTAATCCTTAATAAAATATTAGGGAGACAAATTAGCCATAGTGAAATTTTAAATGACACGTTTGATACTAGGTAATATGAGCTTTGCATTCATTTACATCTTTCCCCACCTTTTTTGCATTTTCCGACCATCCATTTACAATACATGAACAATTAAGAAGTAAAATATTACGTCAGGTGATTTTCGATTCCCAAAATCGTATGCCTCATAAGTCTGAGAAGTTGGCAAGAGGATGGAATGATGTCTGGTAAATATGGAGAATATGGTGGAACCTCCCAACTTTGCTCCCGAATCTTTAGAAAATCATTCTTATCTTGTGGGATCGGTCAGACAGGTCAGCGTTATCAGGTTGAGTAATGATGCGTTTCAAACATTGCTGGGCATTGATCTTTAGATTTCTCCTTTAACCATCCCAACAGTCGGCAACAACACGCTTAGGCTGAAGTTGTCTCACCTGGTTCTAATAACCCCTAATGAAGCATTTTGCACTCCACATACATGCCACCAAGTGTGTGGAAGAAGTTCTCCAAAGGTCATCTCCAACTTGGCTTAGAGGATTGAATGGATGGCTGGATTGAGGAAGCTCGTCGTTTCTGCTGGGAAAGCTGATGTTGGCGGCACCCCAAGTTGTGCTCTCTTCGATTTGCCCATGTGCATCAGGTGCAATCGATGAGTTGACAGTGGCCATGAGAGCCATTGTAGTTATCTTTTCATGATCAGATTCAACGCGGAATTTTAATAGGTCACCACCAAAGTGTGAAGGCCATACTGCCTCTGAAATTTCCATCACCATTTTTAACCTATGAAACTAAAGTCACATCTCTGAAATTCTAGCTCTTTACCAAGCTGTTCAGTATTGGTTTTTTGTGGCATCCTTGCAGACTTTAACCCTTTGACGCCGAATCATTTTTGATAAATTTACCCAACCGCACTCACACGTGTCTCACAGCAGACTGATACAGCCAACATGAGGAGTTGTGGTTATATCAGACGAGGACTGCAATCGTATTGAACACGTTTCTGTTTCGAGTCTAGTACCAATAGAGTGCATTTTGGAAGAAGACAGTACAGACCTAGGGACGGTAAAGGGTCAGATCTCATACAGCATATGATACGTTCTTGATCTGCTTTGGTGCTAGACACCAAAACCATAAAATCATGAATCAAACTGAAAAATTTTCAACAATGAAAGAACTTGTAGAGTTCTTTCATTGACACTATTAATAACTTGAACGGTAAAGGTTGTGGGTAATAAGTTTTCAACCGCCATAAGATCATCTAAGAACATAAAATTTAAATTTAATCATAAACTTTGTCAGATTTTGACTTACATGCTTGAGATAAATTAAATGTTTCTCCCTTGTACTGGTTACTGGACAGTGTTCACGAGGGAAACTGTTGATCAGTTGTTGCCATTCAGCAAAGTTGTTACTTCATGAAATAATTTTTTAATTAACAAGATTACATATTTGACTAGTTTCCAAATATTTTATAGCAATATTAATATTAAGAGTGGAATAAAACCGTCTTTATAGAAATAGTTTATTACCTATCCGCCGAATAAATCTGCAAACTTTTGATATTCTAGAATAATGACCGAATTGCTGCACTTTTACAAATCCATTAAATATCATCCAGTATTTATTATTATTTATTTAGCATTAAATACTTTCAATTTACAATAAATTTGTTTGATTTTACTTAAATTTAATTCAGCTGAAACTTTATTCAAAGTTCATATTAAAATCAACATGACTTCCTTGATCTTATTCTAGTTCCAAAATTCTAAACTTTCATTATCATGTCATTTAATCTCCTTATATGATAACAAAGAGATATCAATATCATTGAGTGAATATTAGATATTTAATCTTAAAAAATTTATCTTTATAAAGATGTAATAATATTTGCCTTTTAATATTATTTGAAATAGCATATGCTTGTGATTAATGAAATTGGCCAAAAAATATTCCTAACGCTCTTGTTTAAAACGCGTTGAATTATGTAAACTTACATTCAAAGCCAGGGTGGGCAAACCATTTAGAAAGGGAATTTGTTGAGACAAATTTTTATTCTCCTACTTGTGTCACAAACATGAAACTTCGTTTCTATCGTCATGAGATGTTGTGGAGATTTCAATCTTCTTGAGTGACTTCGAAATTGCGTGACCGTCTCTATTCCTCACTGTTTTTTTCTCATCGAACGCACATTCGTATTATCATCACAGTACTTCGGTCATATTGCCCTTGTAGGAAATTACGTGAATTTTTGAACGCCCATTTTTTTTCTAAATTACCCCCCACACACCAATTTTATTCCACGCTGTTGATATTGTGTAATTCCAATACTAATATTAACGGGGTTTAGTGCGAAAATGTCCAAATTCATTTCTGCTCCGCGCTTATATTACAAATTTCGAAAAACATTTCCTCACATACTCATCTTACTAAGAGGAACGTTGCCCTAAAGGCATCATCTTCATCATCCCTTTCCGTCGAAGCTTTTGAAGTGAAGCTGTATGGTGTCCTTTGATAAAAAAGTGCTCATGGGCGTAGAAATAATGGCATTCGGCTCTGCTCAAGTGAAATATGTCCACTTGGTCAACTAAAAAGCCTAGATGTTGCATTGTGCATGAATTATTTAGGCATGAGCTTGATATCGATTAAATTTACGGAGATATAATCAAATTAGATATGTTTTTTTCCAGAGAATAGATTTGGACTAATATCTTTTTCATATTGATTATTTTATTATTTACATGGAATGGACCTTCTTGCTATTCTTTAATTAACACTAATCCATTACTCTCCCTATTCTAACATTGTTGTCAGTTATGGATGGTTTAAGTATTTTGTACTCAATTATTGCTTGGTTAAAAGTAAATATTTCATTAGCGCATTTATTTATTTGTCACTTTCTTTGCAAAAAATAGAGTTTAAAGAAATATGAATACAATAAGTAACTTGAAATAAGCTCTGCACAAAGTATTATTTAAACAATCAAACAATTTTCAATTGAATTATAAAAGTCATGTAAATTCAGCTGTAATGGGTCTAAGTACTAAATAAACAAGATGTGCCTCTATGGAGGCGTTAATTCGATATTGTCTGTTTAAGTACCCTCTACCAAACATACTGTAGCGGATAGCTACGCTAGTAAAGCCTGACCGACTCAGAAATCTCTATGCCCTAAGTAAAGCCTGACTGACTTAGAAATCTCTATGGCAGATTCTCGCATCTAGCTAGACCGACTCAGAAATCTCCATGGCAGATTCTCAAACATCTAGCTACCGACTCAGAAATCTCTATGGCAGATTCTCCAGCATCTAGCTAGTCTCCCAGAACCAGCTAAGCTATAGCCCAGCTAAGAAGGAAACAGACGCGTAGCACGGAACACGTTTACTCAGTAGGGTTATTGTGAGTAAAGTGTACACGCAGGGAGCTTAATCATTATCACAGAGTTGTACGGCCGCACCTTCCAATCCTGGCGCGCAGCATGCGATGACGCACACAGCGATAACGTGTCTCACAATACTATTGCATTTGCTCATTGATACATTAAAGCTTAGGAGGAATTTTTCGTACTATGCTCAACAATATAAAGTAGAGTTAAAGCCATACTATGAAACTGACACTAATCGGCTGGGTAACATTAATAAGATAACATATCGCCTCCAGGTATCAGAATAACGTGAAGTTGTGAAAGACCAGTCACCAGTTAGATGTTCGCTGATAAGAAAGAAGAAAAGCAATAAATAATTGAAATTAGCAAAATTCTGTGCAGGAGAGCACAATTTTGAGAGTGTAAAATAGGTAATCACATGATCTGGTCTATGCCACACACTTTCATTCGTTTGTCACTCCAAAGCAAATGGACTAATATGACAACTAGGTCAATCGATGCAATGCAACCCACCAAAAAGTACCACGAATGATATATTGCAGTTGATAAGTCTCAGTTAAAGCGGCTTAACAAAATTGTATTAAATAAATAGAAGAATTAGTATTCCTTTATATGTAAGGCTGCATTTTTCTGAATATTTATTGGCGTTTCACAATATTACTTCCAGTATCGTGCGCCCAATCCCGTGATTACTGAATATAAGTTTTTTAATCACTGATAAGCACTTAAAATCGGATAGCAGTAAGAAAATAAAGGACAAATTCTTGTAAGTTGAAGGATTTTAAAAAGGCACAGTCCATTAGACCCTTGGATTCAAGTTGCCAAACAGCTACTGGTTGAATAGTCAATTTCTTATCTGTTATATCAATGCTTCAGTAACTCCTTCAAGGGATGGGAAGAGAAAGATAAAATTTCCAATATTTTAGCGCATTCGAAATTGAAGTTTGTCTTCGGTGTAAAAAATGGAAATTGAAAAGGTTGAAATTTCTTCTAAAAATGAGTTTCGTGTTTTCGCCAGAAGATCTAGTATTAAAAAAACTTAAAATGGAAGGACAGACGTTAAGAATCCTAGTTAGAGCGTTTTGATTTGAAATAAATGGAAAATTTTACATTTTACGATAAGAATCTAATCATTTATTTTAAATTGATTTGATAGTTATATCTATAAGCCATAATTAGTAGAAACGATTGTAATATAGTTAACGTCCTTTTCGTTAATTGGCAAAGCGCAGAGTAAATCAATCAGAATGTTTGAAAAGTACGTTCAATTATTCTAAGCTAGAAATTCAAAAGCGTATTTTTTACCAATTCTTCCGAAAACTTGGGCTATAAAGCCTATCAAGATCTCCAAATTCTACTTCTTAGGGGGATTTCGATGAAGCATGTTGGAGCATGTCATATGTTATTCGTTTTTATTATTTTATTTAAGAATGAATGAAATAAAGCGATAATAGATAAGATATTCTATAAATTCTCACTTTCCTTTGAAAAATAGCAAAAAATATTGGATATTCATTAGAACTTGTATATTTACCAAATAAATTATACTTTATGCAATTAATATCCTCATAAACATTCCATGCTTTGTAAAATTGATTATTCAATTTATCGTGAAAATGAGATACTTATCAATGAAATAAAAATTGATTGAGGCAATAGGAACACAAATAGGCTAGAAAGAAAGGGAGATTTCTATTTCCCCACATACTCCCATTAATTACCTGACATTCAGTTTTCAAAGCAAATTTATGTCCACTATATTCATAACTTATTAATTACAAGTTTCATCATGACATCTCAACCTACTCATGCCAATTCATAGCTATAGGCAGGAAAATAAGCTTTGTACAAATATTTTAAACATAACACAGAGAGTACATGAGATCACTTAAGGCAAACTTTACTTGAAAATATTAGCTTTTTAATTTTTGTTTAATTGTGCCTTAGACGCAGCAGAACCCAATTCAAAACGCCTGAATACACATTTACCTCGAGATTCGTTCGGGGCGAATTCGTTAACCGCAAGTGCCGAGGATGACTTAGACCTTTTCACCAAAACTCAGGTTTGCAAGTTGCTTTTAATGAAGGGATTTTTAAGGCTTAAAAAGTCTAAATTTACAGGCATATATGTATATATATGTATTTGTGTGTGTGTGTGTGTGTGTGTGTGTGTGTGCATTTTAGCACATCAAAACTTGCAGCTTTAACTCATTCAAGCAAATCATTTTCATTTATCTAAGTACAATTATATACCAAACCACTTAAATGTTTATCGATAACTTGTTGGTAATTTCATAAAATTATGCCAAAGAATTGCTGCACACAATTGGAAACATCGGATAAATGTAATATAAAATTATTTAAAGTCGAAATTTCTCGGGCGCTTCCTCACAAGTCGACCTCGACCCAGTCGTTCGTTGGACGAACCAGCAATCGCCACGACGACCACGACAATTACAACGCCTGGCCTCCTTGAAGGGCGACTACCCTTCCGACGTCCAGCTCTTCAAGTCACCAAGGTGTCTCCAGGCGACATTGGACGGCGATGTCGGAGAGCACTTCACCGCGCAGCTCTTTTCCTCCTTACTGCAGTCCTCTTCTCCCTGACAATGAATACCCTCTTTTCTTCCGTCAAGTGGTTCTTCCGTTTACCTCACAATATAACTGTTGGAAATGTCACAATGGAGTCAGATGTGGTAAGATTTTGCGTGAAAATGTTAAAATACCGCATTTGTTATTATTTAAATTACTATCAACTAAGAGACAATTGAATTCACATAATATGACGAAATAAAAACTTATAACAATTGTCATAGCTCAAAACGTGAACGCAGCTATCGGAGAAGCTGATAGAGAGAGTGAGGAAAATCGAATATTTTCAACACCTCTGCTGAGTGCGCAAAAATTCCGTAATTAGAATTTATTGCACAAGGGCAGGACTTTTTATTGACTCTCTACCGGGAGGATTGCCATCAAAGTATGAATTATTTATTTATATCAAATGGCGGACGTTTAGATAGTTATCATGAGCCCTTCTGCTGACTTCGGGCTTCACAGGGAGGAGGAGGGACGTCAAAGAGAGAAAAAGTTGGGAGGGTGAACAAAGCAGTGATTTACATTTGTAAAAGAGATGTGTACTATGGAAGTGGTAGAATATCACATATAGTGGGGTCATGGTTGTTTGAAGTCAGAAGTCAACTGCCGGTTGATTGACTTTTTTGTCGTATGAGTATACGTTGCCCAGGGTACACCACGTGGAAATGCTTATGGTGTCCCATAGTGGTTGCCTACCTATCAATGTGTCTCTTTTTCATCGCAGTCTAGGCAAGTGTCTTTCACCTCAGGTGTATTTCTGCTGCTATTTGCCCTAACTCTCCATCGCAAACGCTTCCCTTGCAACAATCAGCATATATTAGGATTTCGAGTTTGGCTTATCATTAGTAGATTTAAAATGATCTTCTCTTATTCCTTTCTTCTCAAACAACTACGTCCATGCAAATTACAGCTACGCGTTATGTTCCTAAATTTTCCCCTGAGTTTTATTCATTTTTTCCAATGAAAATTTCAATCAATATTCTCTGCGTCGTCGTAATCCCGACGTAAAGATCTGTAGTATAAAAGGAAAGAATAATTAACAACATATCTATGAATGTAGATTCGGGACAGTCTAGCTGTTCTGCAACAGAAGAAGTGAAACTAAATAGTAAAACACGTGGTCCGAGCCACTTTAATAATAGTCCAAATCAGTGAATGGTCCAGAAAATTTCACCTGTTAGGTTCTATTTTACCAGAAGAAAGGAATCTCGAATTGCCATTGTAAACTGCTTTCCGTTTATTTCAGGTCGTCGATTCGCCCGCTCTTCTGGCATATCTTGTAACTTCCAGTTTGATCATTTTCATTCCCTTGTCTCTACTTGCGTCTATCTGTTTTGATCGAAAGGTGGATAGTCTCTCAGGTATATTCACGTAAGTTCACAAAATATTCTGATTCCTAATGCCATCCTACCCTCTGCCAATAAACCCAGATAAGATTGAGAGATTGAAGATTTGGAGGTGGAACCGTGGATTACGGTGAAACGAGCAGAAAATAGTGACGATTGGATTAGAAGTACATTTAACATAGGCTAAATTAATGATCTAGTCCCTCGTAAATCTGTTTCACTACCCACGTCTGAGTCGAAGAACGGGTCAATTGTTATGAGGAGTTAAAATGGAGTGTACTCTGCGGCCTTCAACTTGAAACAATTGCACCTAAAGGAAAAAATAAAAAGTGTCAATGGAGGTAACAATAGAATGATGAATTATTTGCTTGTTTTCCTAGGCCCATCATTGAGTGTCCATTTTGCCCAATTAAAAGCGAATAAGTATTCAAGACATACGTGAGGATATAACCTCTCTCTCCTCTGGGGAATGGTATATGCATGTGTCCTTAATGCACGTGTTAATAGAAATATGCTAACCCGTCAAGTCCAATACCTGAATAGTTAAAAAGTTAAGAAATATTAATATATTCAACATAATGATACCGACTCATGAAAATAACGGAAATGAATATATAGAAAAGAAAAATAATTCAACTACTTATTGGCCAAAACTTGACAAGGGAAAAGGATATGGAATTGTCCAATCAGAAATGGGAATAGAATTCAGAGCAGAAACGTTAATGTTTATGCACAGGCATTTATTGAAATGATGTTAGTAATAACAACAAAAGATTTGCGATATTCTGACTAACTCAACCTTCTCTGTTTTCCTACTTCTCAATCTTTTATTTATTATTGGCCAACAGGACAAAAAACCGCTCTCGGAGAAGCTTTAATTGATCTTTTAATTAAATCTCCTTTTCCGCACACATACACATACAGCGTCGATTTTATTCCCAACAGAGTCAATTTTTCCCACTATACAATTTGTTGGACCCAATTTTGTGGCATTTCGTTTAAAAAGGCAGCTGCTTTCTGTTAACCAACTAAAACATCAATCGCCCTGATTTGATTGAATTCACTATGTGGCCTTAGTAGCAGAATTAGTGTTGATCTAAGTACATAATTTTCTTTTATTTCTACCAACCTAAGCAATATTAAGCACAACCGCTATGCGGATGTTTATTCCGTATCGTTTCGATTTCAGAATCTATGTAATTGAATTGACCGAGGGCCATGCAACGTGGAGTGTGTTGATATTACGAAGTTTTGCTATGAACACTCTCTGGACGATTTGTATTTATTGTATAATTCGAGCTCTTCGCTTACTCTCCGTCGCCGATATGACCATGCTCCTTGCAATTCTTCCACCCTACAGTTACCTCTTCACCTGGATCCTAGTTCCAAAGAAATTTGTCGCATTCAGGGTAAGCCGCTCACATTTTTCCTATATTTATATATCGTACTCCAGGCATGGATCCCAACACCCCACGTGTGAAAGTATGCAGGATTTGAGATGATATGACATTGAAGCAATCAAGAAAATGTGGCCAATGATGTTACCTCCAAACTAAAGGAAAGTGGATATAAAAAATGATTGGTCAAAACGTGCGCACACTAACAACTACTGTTTATTCAGAATGATTGAATATGGCAATAGACAATGGAGATTTTCGTAATTTGACCACACCTAGTAATGAATATCAGGAATTTAATCAACCTCAGGACAAAATTGTTTAATCTGAACTGATAGTTGGGCACGCGACCCGGAATTAGGCCCATCATTAAGTGAATGGAAAACTGTCTGATTCTCATTGAACGGCAACCTGGTAGCCTCTTTGAACTTAGCGCCAGGGCGTGTAACTGGCATTCAACGAATGAGTGATATCTGCCCCCTGAAATTGATTAAATTGCAGCTTCCCAACTAATGCCAGTTTGAATTTTAAACCATCAATATTTTCAGCTAGTGTAAACTATACAAGGTGAGCAAATCACCAATAATTTGCATCTTGACAACCAGTGGAAAGGCTAATCGCTTCAGCTGAGACTCAGTTACAAGAGATTAGTTAATGAGAAGGAAAGTGTAAGAGCTAGACAATGACTCCTGACAAGCAGTCAAAACATTTATTTATTTATATCAAATGACGGGCGTTTTGGTAGTTTCATTGGCCCCTTAATTAACTTCAGGCTTCCCAGAGGGGAAGAACATCAAAGTGATTAAAAGTCGTGATGGGGGGGGGGGAGGGGAACAGAAGAGTGCTTCAAAGATGTAAAAGAGACAGACACAAAGGTGGAAATAGGTGAGGTGAGTACAGTGAAGTAGTCGAATATGACATACAATGGGGTGATGGTAGTTTGAAGTGAGAAGTCAACTGCCAGTTAATGGACTCTTTTGCCGTATGAGTATACGTTGCCCAGGGTGCACCACGTGGAGGTAAGTCTATTGCACATCCGCAGTCAAAAGAATTTCTCCCCAATTAGAATAAGAAAACTGTGAATAAATCAAAGTAGACTGAAGAACAGCAATTGAAGTTGGAGAATGGGGGGGGGGAGTGTTAAAATTAACGGTTAAAGGGGTGAAGAGACCTCGAGAACAAAGTGTTTGCACTAGGTCTATACAAAAAATAGAGGAGGCCAAACAACAGTATTTGTTAAACTGCTGGTGAGTTTGAGGCATATGGTGCCGGAAGATGAAATACAAGACTCCGATCAATTAAGTTGAGCATTCGAGCGTAAGAACGATCTTCCGGATAATATTTTAAAATTTGTATTTAAGCAGTAAATATTTTTGAGAAGTGGTTATTGAGAAATTCTTCAAAAGAGAAGGGAGAGGTTCTGACATAGGCAAATGAATCTTTGCAATAAAAATACGATTTTCAGTATCGGTTAGAATTACGAGGAAGTAGCCGGCTAGAAGCTGAAGCATGATTGAATGCGGAAAACTAAAAATCGTCAAATTTGTGTTTGAAGAATAGTCTGGGTGGATTGATTCTATCCGATTCAAACTCCCAACAAGTGAATTTTCTAATTTTATTAACTAAAGTACAAATTTCCTTGAATTTTCATTTTCGACCAATCAGAATCCTATTATTATTTTTAACTTGCAAATGTATGCTAAGAAATTTAGGTAGATTCCATTTTTCTATTTTGCTTGATATTTCTTTCTTTTAGATAATAGCTCTGATTTTGGCTTCTTGTGGAATGATTTTTTTAACTCACCTGGATCGGAACAACACCGGCTCAAAAATCATCGCCATTTGTGGAATTGTATTGACGGGCCTTTTTACTGTAAGCTGTTGAACAACTTTGATTATACAAGTATTATTATTATTATTTTATCAAATGGCACCCGTTTTGATTGTTGTCATTAGCCCTTTAGTTGACTTCAGTCCTCATAGAGGGGAAGGAACATCAAAGTGTAAAAAATTCAAGAGGGGGGGGGGAACAGAAGAGTGTATCAAAGACGAAGGTCGATAAGGTGGAAAAAAGTGGGATGAGTACTGTGAAAGTATTCGAATATGACATACAGTTGGGTCATGGTAGTTTGAAGTCAACTGACAGGTAAAAGACTTTATTGCCGTATGATTATACGTTGCCCAGGGTGCACCACGTGGAGGTAAGTTAAGTTAATACTAATTAACTTAAATTTATATCTAAGAGATTTTTCTGATTTAGAGTATTGGAGTAAGGTTGATCTGAGGTTTCCAGTCTTAGCTTCAATCTTTTTTAAATGCTTCAATGATAG